GGGAGTCTGCTTCTCCCTCTGACCTTCCTCCTTCTCATGCTCTCTGTCTCTCATTCTCTCTCTCAAATAAATAAATAAAATCTTTAAAAAAAAAAGAAAATAAAATACAATTTCCTCCTAAAAGACAATTTAGTATAACTAAGATTTTGAAACTGTCAAAACGTATCTCAAATGAACCTGTTTTTAAGTAATGAACTCATTGTTGGTTCTGGCTCATTTCCTTATTTATTCCAAAATACCTTCTCCTGACATTCAGTGCTTGCCAATGAAGCCAAGATTCCACCATCAGAGATGTAGTCTTTGGGGCCTGGCAGCTGAGTTCCTCAGAAACCCTTTTCAATAAAAAGCACCTGTGCCAGATAAGCAACACATGCTGCCCTGGACACGAGCCTGCCAGTGGGCAGGATCCAGAGCAGACCATCCCCGTCAGAAAGTCCAAGTATTCCAGTTTAAAGCGCTCTTTCCCCAGAGCCTATTAAACCACTAGTTTGTAAAATGAAACATTACAGTGTATCTGGTTTCTGCTTTCAGTCTTCAATTATTCTCTAATATAAGGGATCAGATTTTCTTTCTGGTGGTAAAGAACCAAGTAACTGGACACAGAGTTAAGTGGCAGTGAGAAAGGAAGAGAAATACCAACTAGAAAAGCCCAACTATCCCAGAGCCATTTAAAGAAAATTCCTCTTAACAATCCTAGAGATTGACAATACTATATTGTCACAATGACCGGTCACCTGAATTGTCTTCAAGCAAAAACAACAATGACAAAACCACCCATGGCCCCAATATTAATTCTTGGCCTTGTGTCTTGTCATTACCCTAAATTTCCCTCCCCCGGTGACAATATACCCTTGAAATCTGAACACTAGCCAATGGATAAGGCCTCCAGAAGAAACCTCATGCTGCTACTTAAAAATGGGAGTTCATCTGAGACACCTTTCGACGGTTTTAAAGTCTTAGTTATATCAAACTGTCTTTCTGGAGATTTCAGGAAGCTTTCTATCTGGTCTTTATTGCCGTCCTGCTACCAGGACCCACCTGCGGAAAGAGAGGCGCGATCACGGGGCCTGTGACTTCCTCCTCACGCTCCAGCTGCACCAGCACCACCACTGGCCCGCCGCTGTGGGGGAGAAGAGCAGGGCAGCGCCTCAGCACCGTGGCAGGGGCTCGGAGCGCACCGTCCCGCCGGGCCCAGCGGGGACCCCGGGGCAGGGCGCCTGGCCGGCCCGCGCTCACCTGCGGATGCCATCCTTATCCACCACCTCGTAAGAAAGCTCGATGTTCGGGTAGCGGTTGCAGAAGCGGGCCACGTCGGCGATCTGGCTGTCAGACAGCTGAAGCAGTGCGTTTCGTTCTTCGTCTTCCATCTCCATGATGTCAAAAACGCTCTCCACTCCCTGCAGGGGGCATTCGGAGGTCAGGGAAGGAGAACTCATACTAACAGCAAATGAAACCCGGCTCCAAACAGCTGCTAATTTTACTTCCTATGCTATCAGATCATCTAAAGACGTGGCTTCAGAAAGAACACAGCCCGCAACTGTACAACCACCGGACTCTCTAGTATTTCAGTACGCAACACCCTCAGAGACACTCAGAGAAACTCCAACTCCCCCCGACCGTGACTCACCTCCGACAACCCCTTCAACTGCCCCCACCTCCCAGGACACTTGGCTCAGCCACCCAACCGTCCAGGTCCAGGCCCAGCTCACCTTATCTGTGCACCGTTTAATATGCTCTGACGTGAAGTGTGGCAACTGTTTCAGGTAGGAGTCCTTGGACCACATGGCTTGGGTGACCATCTGGGCCAGCTCCATCGCTGCCAGGGCAGGGCTAAGCCACCCGTTGCTGGAAAGGACGTCCACACAGGCCTGGATGAGCCGGATTGCCTGAACAGGGGTAGGAGTGCAAGAGAAGGCAGGCTTGGAACTGCTACTTCATAGGCCACCCCTGGCCCCTCCACTCCACACCCATACAGGCACCCACACCTACCTTGCTGAGGATTTCCTCCGTATCCGACTGCAGCTCAGCACTCAGTTGCATGCGGGACAGGTGAGCCTGCAGAAGCAGGTTGGTCTTGACGTGCGGGTCATTGAACTTCGGGTTATTCAGCTTGTGCGGGACCTTCTGAGCCAACTGGAGGGGAAAGAAAAACAACTGGTGATGAACACATGGCCCTGCCCGAAAACAGCTCTGGGGCCCAAAGGACCACCTGCCCCATGCTCACAACCCTTCAAAACAGAGACGTGTGGGTGATGTGCTGGGGTCTTCCTGTGGTGACAAGGACACCATGTGCTCTGGGCACAGAGGCCAACTTTCAACTCCAAAGAGGTTGTCCTGAACCCAAGATGTCCTCACCTGCCGCAGGAGGTTATCTTCATGGTGCCGGATGGGAATGTTCTCATACTCCGCCGCATTGGAGATGATCTCAATAAGCCCTCGCACTTTGGTCTTGGCATTCAGGGACATGCTGAAGAGCTCTGACAGCCAAAGAGAAGGAGGAAGGGGAGGAGTCAGAAAAAAAAGAGGGAGGAGAGTTAACTGCCTAAGCTACCCTACCCCTGTACTACCCCACGATCCATCCCTCTGACCCACACACAGGGCAC